ACTGACATGTACTGTTTGCATGGTATTTGCATGAGAAATTAGAGAGGTCACCATGACAGATGAAACATATGTCCTGATAATAGATATTTTTTTTGTTATTTATTGCTTGGATGAAGGTGAATATCCTTTTTATTGAAAGTATTGGTTATGATGATATACTGGAGGGTGGCAAAGAGGTTATAATGATATAATGGAGGGTGGCAAAGAGAAAGTTGTTAGTTTGAATGTATTGGCTAATGATATAATTGAGGGTAGCAAAGAGGAATGTAAATACAAGTTTGGTGATCCACAGTGACAAAAAATTATTGACATTGTGTTCAGAAGTGCCAATTTTGAAAACCTTTTCTTATTCCCCAAACATATTTTGTACTGATTTTCATCTTCCTGAACATTTTGTTTCTATAGAATCTGGTTAATGGGAAATGGCTAACAGTGCATGTTGTGAGCATGTTTAGTGCATGCATGTTGCATCTCTATCAGTTTCATAAACATGCTTTATATAAAGGTTTGCAAGAATGCAAACATTGGAAAACAGGTTGCATATGTAAATAACCAATAATTTTCTGTAATGAGAATACATTGTACTGGGGTTATCATAAGTGTACCCTCATGAAGAACTATGGCGATACAGAAAGTCAACTGACATAAATGATATATTTTGTTAATAATTGGTAGACTTTCAAAGAATCTCATCCATAAAATTGAGTTATAGCTTGCTCATAGGGAGAAGAATTAATAAAAAATAGCTGTTAGTTTAAACATCATCTTTACTTTTTTGTTCACTCTAGTCATGTTTCAGTCATTAAGCTATAGCCAATAAAAGGCTATCAACTGTATGTGTCTCAATGACATGTACCTTAAAACAGTGAAGGGCTTAAGCAGCCTTAGAATGGTCAGTTGTAAAACAGAATCAGATCTGTTAAATTAAGTACCACATCTTTCTTTGTTTATTTTGAATTGTAACTTGCTAATGGCTTTTTTTATTTTTCATAAGCCAGAAATGAAAAGTGTTCCTGAATGCTTTTGAAATGCCTGACTTTTCAGGATTTCTGTTAAAAATGAAAATTTTTCCTTTGTAATAAGTTTATCTTAATTCATAGAGTTTATCTCAACCCCTCTTTCCCCATATGAGTTACTCTTTAAAGGTAGATTGACACAAAATATCAAAGCTGCAGGTATAAAAAAATTCTCATTTTTACACTAACATCAAGTCCTTTGATCTTTAAAACCTATTTGTGTGGTCATCACAGAGTGTATAGATTTTCCTAGAGATCCTCATGTTTAATGCTGGCAGTATTACAGATTCCCTATATATACAACTTATTGATTTGTCCTGGAAATTGCCTGTATATTTAGGTCATAAGTAATGAATTTTTAGATCAAAGTAGATATTTTCCAGCTGATCATTTCTAGTTTAGGAAAAATTATTTCCAACATGAATAAGTTATAAGCCTTCTAGGCAATTATTGGATTTAAACTTATTGCACTTGTAGAAATGGTGTGATCTGTACTAATATTTAAAAATCTTTTTATATAACAAAGATCTGATGATCAATGGAGAATTATTTGTTATATAAATGACATTTATTATTCATTCATGATTGAATAGTGAATACAAATTCACGGTTGATTAGACGAATTATTTTTTAATCTGTTTGAATCAAATAAGCAAAGAAAATTGCAAATCATCTTAAAAATATTCTTTATAAGATATCAGGAATACCAGTATTTAAAATAGATATTAAAAACAGTACATATAAGTCATTTTTCAAGTGTATATATCACTTTAAATTTTAATGGTTAATACTGAAAATGACAAAGCAAAGGAACTAAAAGAGGACTTAATGTTCATCAAACAGATGTAGGTGATGGTTTAACTCTTGGTTTCTGGTTGCCATGATTGTTTTTTCGTTTATTATGTTAGTATAAATGCTACAAGAGGTAGTTTGTTTCTTTTGAATTGTTTCATATTATGTAATCCTTTAGCCTTTTTATAACCAGTGTTCCTCATTGTTGAAGTACTGTGACCTGTTGTTGATCACATTCCTTTTCTTTGCTCTCTGGTAGATAGTTTCTCATTGGAAATCATACCAGATCTCTTAATTTTTATATTTGAAATTATATTTAAGTATTTTTATGTGGTAAACACTTTGAAATCTAACTTAGCTTCTTAATACATATACTGTGACAGGTGGCACCACCATCTGTTGACAAACAAACATCTTCAAAATGTTTAATGCAATGTGTCGTATCATAGTAAGATAGTCCATATGGTGCTATACAGATGTGTCTTGGTATGTGGATAATGTCTCAAATAGTTTATAAATTCTTTATTCAAATTAAGTTATACCCCAATAGGATTGATGGTATATATGAAGTTAACAAAATAACACAGTACAATATTACATTACAAGAATATTAAAAGTACAAGACATAATAAACATACAATGTATGTACATATCATGCAGTTGTTGAGTCCACTCTCCTCTGTGACCATGACTTTTTATACAGTATATACTTGTTCAAAAGACTGAGTATCAAATTTTAGATTCAGTACCAAATAGTTGGTAACCTTGGAATTTAGAGACGGACAGATGATTTTTGATACATGATACACTTTAGAATGTATGAATAGGTGGTATATAAATAATTGCTGCTGAAATACTGTTGTACATACTTTACAAAATGTCTTATACTTGGGTGTACATGATAACAGCAGCCCAACAACATAAAAATAGCAAGAACACATTAAATATTTATAAAGGTCAACATCGCGTACAGTATCTATTTGAAGCTTGGAAAGAACTCAAAAGTTCCATGAGACTGTTTCTAGGTGGACCTCAGTTGTTGTTCCACACACAACTGACCCTCCTGAAATTATATAGCTGAAATTTAGCAAATTCTTGTATAGAAACCGTTTACTTGCAATTTGGACCCAAATTCTTCATTGCTATAATTTTCCCAGACACTCAGAAAATATTTGAGGTCATTTTGTTGAAATTCCTTGTTTATCATACATTTAGTTGCAATCAGGACCTCATATTCTTCCGGAGCTTATTGTACGATTTTTTAAAGTGAGTTCTCATTTCAAGCCATATTTTCACTACTTTGAGAAGGCCCATTTAGACGAATTAAAAATGTCCTTGACCAAATGGACAAGATAATGTTGGTTATCATCTGGCCAGTGGTCAGTATTGGCTGTGTCAATAGATAGGTGTGATAAGTAGACTAATTCAGATTGGAAGATCTGTTTATATGTATGTTTACTTACAAATAAACCAAATCTGTTTGATACACAAGACATGACATTTAATATCTGCAAGTATGGCACAGGGTATCTAATATATACAGGTGGTTCCACATACATAACCAGACAAAGGATTGAGTTAGCTTTGTCCAAATAAAGGATTAAATTGCATTTTAAACACTGTCAAATGTATGCTTCTCTGTTTAAAAATAACAAGCTTTTTAAAAGGCCTTATATATTGATTCAAAATTTGGCGGGAAATGATTCTTTCTAGATACATGCCTAAAAATGTTATCTGTGTTGTTTATTTAGAGTAGCAAAAACATGTTTCCAATAGAATTTAAGCTGTACCAATTTAAATATGTGTATTTAAAAGGCAGGAAAATATTGTAATATTAAGAAAAAAAGTAAGTTTCAAGTATCAATGAATTAATGGAAATCTAAATTAATAAGACATTCACATTGATTGTTTAATTTGTTTTCCAAGTAAATTTTTAGCTAGATTTTCTAAATTGGAGAGACTACTCCAAACTAATTGGACAGAAATTATTGACATTCTGTCAGATAAGTTAGTTTCTATCTTCAGTGATTAGGAGCATGGACTTGTACACTTTAATATAAGTGATCTACATTTAATATAAGTGCTTATATATTAACACTGCTATATTTTTAACAAAATTCTCTTTCTCTTACTGTCCCTAACTTGATGAGGTGAATATGTTATAAAACTAGAGTAGTTTATGTTATTCAAATCTTAAGAGCCCTGTTACAGTCACATAAAGCACACAGTCCCCCTAATTCCCAAAATCAATAAGTGAAAGACTTCAGTTCTCTAAACAAGTACAGATGACACTTCCCAGGTACAATTCCCCTTTAGATATACAAACATACATTGTTATGCTCTGCAAATATACTTCAGATATGTACTTGGGGGAAAATTATGACAGTTTGACGATGTTTGTTACAACTCTGTGTACTAGATATTCACTGGTCAGCTTGACCGATGTTTTTTGAATGAATTAGTTTTCTAGGTCAGTTTGACCTGTACTTTTTCTTTTGGTGTGAGCTTATCCATGTTATCTGAGAGAAGTTGAATGAAAATGAATGTTTATTGAAGTCTACCCTGTGACAAACAACAGATTGTGAAAGAGTGAAGTGTACTCTTAATGAATTCTTAATTTCTTGTTGTAAATAAATGATACTCAATTTCTGGTTGTAAATAAAATTGTTCGTCTTGATTTAATGTACCTTCATGCATATATAGCAAATTGCATAGTTCTTTATATCAATGGTAAAACCAATTCTTTAAGCAGTCTTATATTGGATCTTTGGACTAAAATAATTCTCTAATTTTTTTTGGTGGTTCCTTGATATTAGCTTTTCTGTTCTTGAGTTGTAATCAGTGATCATTTAAAAGGAGAGGAAAACAACATATATTAATTGCAAACATTTTAACTCAAAATTTTAAGAAGAGCTGGGATAAAGAATTTTTTAAATGAGATTTTATTTCTCAACTCTTGAGATAATTCAAGTGTGGTCTTGTTTCTCATACTCATAAGCTTGTGGCATCAGGGTATTTTTGCGTTCAGATAGGATCAATCATCAGAGCATTCCGTTGATGAGGTCTTTTGTGAAAACACTCAGTGTAAAAATTGACTCTCATCAAGACTCCGTCATGCTGAAATGACATGTGAATTTGAAATGCTGTTCAGATTCTTCATTAATTCCATCAACCATTTTGTTACATTTTCAGACATACAGAATGGTTTTCTATTGGAAACTGCCAAGAGAGAATGGTACTGTTCAGCAGAAACAGATGAGGAGAGATACAATTGGATACAGTTGGTACAGCAAACAATCCGAACAGCTATTTAATAGGATCGCAGTAACTAAGCACAGAATATATCAATAGGAGAAAATCATTTAGATAGGTTGTGTATTGGAACTTGATTAAATTTGAATTTGTTAATTAATAATGGCATTGTTAGTATATGATATAGTAATTGATTTTATCTAATGGTTAATTGGATGGTGTAATTTTGAATCTAAAGAGTTGGATGAGCACACTGCCAGAAATTCTGAATGGCGATTTTAAGTAGAATATGAGAAAAACAATGTGACATATCTATATTAAACTGTAAATGTATCTCCAACCACATATGAAAATGTTATTACATGTTAGGGGAATTTTAAGTTACCAAAACTTCCAAGAAATAATGTAGATAGAAATTTTAAAAGACTTTCAAGAGTTAAAATCAATTAGTTAATTAAATTCATACATAAAACAAACTAATGAATTATGAGGTTATGTAAATTACAATTTATTTTTGGTGATAGTTAAATTGTTTTGTGCTAAAATTGCCATAAAGCTTGTTATTAGCTCCTAAGTCAATTTCAGCATTTGATAGAGAACTTCCAATAAAAATAGATGAATTGTCCACCAACGCATGGTTTCTTAAGAAACTGTTATTGAATAATGGAAGGGAATTGTTTTGATAGAAAGGCATATAGATTTTATAATCAAATTTTTAGCATACAGTAGATATATAGCTTGTATTAATTGATAAATAGTAAGCAAGAGTTTGACTATATTTCTATACAATTTTTAGATAATTAGATTTTGATATGATATTTATCAAAGCTTTTTGTGATAAATAAATGCGGAAAATTATTTGTTACGTCAATAGGGGTCAAGGTTGTGATTGTATTTGAGGCCTCTGTTTAATTTTGTAGATAAGCTGTTGAAGTAGAAACTAGATATACTACCCAGTTTTTATTATTCCATTTTAATTATTCAGAGGGTATGAATAAAAGGAGATATATATGATATGTCAAACATTGGAACACAATTAAAATTTTAAAGTTTTAATGGTACCACTAGTACATATTATTGTAATTGGTTTTTAAATGATTAATTGAAAGATGAAATTTGATTTTAAAGGACTCATATAACTTGGTGTTATAACAACCTCATTATTTAAACATTCTCTTCAATTTTTTTCGGAAAGGGCTTTAAGAGAAGAACCAAAGAGATTGACGTCATTAATTGAATTAATTGCGTAGCAAGGTTTTGAATTTAACTCCCCTTGAATTTAATGTGTTTGAATTGCATTGAATATGTTTTTGAACCTCCTTTTTCCTCATACAAGTCTCTTCAATACAATATGCTTTATTTGAATGCCCGGCTGCGAATTTGAATGATGTAAAAATTAAGTGGTACATGTATTGTTGATTTGTGTCATGTCATTTCATAAGATATGGCGGCAAATTAAAAAAGAAAAGAAGAAAAGACCTTATCTTGATTTCATTAAAAACCTTTTAGTTTGAAATGTAAATTATGAAATCATAGATTCTAGTGATATACTTTTAAAAGACATTTTTGTAAGTGATGAGTATATGTAACCTTCTAAGCTATGAGTCTAAGAATGCTTATCAGGTTTTAAAAATTAATTGAACAAAGACTCTTGTGATAGGTTAAAGAGCTTAAAGCATAATGAAAATATGTTGTGTAAGTATTTAATGATTCTATTTTTTTTTTGTTAAGAGTTATTTGTTGGTACATATATATACAGTAATTTCTGTGATAATCATATAAGAAAATCATGTTTTGGGTATTTTATTCAATTTTGTAGTTTAAATCAGTAATTTATTTGTTAAGTTTTACTTTTTCTCTTCTGAGTGCTTTCATCCTGTTTTCTGTCATAATATGATTGTTTCTTAATGAAAATGCTAGCATAATCATTTTGTAATGTTCTGTTTACATGCTAGCATAATTTGGATGTGCTTGAATGATCCATGCAATCATTGTGTATTGTATCATATTTTGTTGGATATATTTTTTCTTTGTTTATTTTGTATCTTTTATCTTTGTTAAACTAAACTTTATTTTTTGGTCAAATTATCATACGCATTTTTAGATAACAGAATGAATCATTTTTAACTTCAAAACTGATATTCACAGTACTTAGGCCCTGTAACAAAACAAATTGTGTTGAGGGTTTTGTTAATTTTGATAAATAGAGCAGGTATGTAGAATATTTTTGTTATTTTTAAGGTACATGCAATGGTGCTTCCAGTTTAAAAATAGAAGTATCAAATTTGTTTCAGAATGTACATTTTTTACAAGTTTTTTTCCATTAAATCACAATTTCACATTACCACATACATGATATGTACATGGAAAAAATGTCTGTGTAGCATTTTATTTTTAATTCTGTTTTAAAGATCAACTGTTTTGCATGTAAGCCCGTGGAGCTGTCAATTACAAGACTGCAACCTTTAGTAATTGTTCTGAATATGAAGAAACATTTGCCACTTGACATTGAGCAACAAATAATCAATCAATCTAATCATATCAATATTTTTCTCTGTGACATTCTTTGATTCATTTTTTTTTGTGTGTTTTGGCAGGTAAAATAGAACGTCAATTTTATAGGGAAAAAAGCAAGGTTTTTCTATTAAGATGTGTTTCTACAAAAACTGCTTCTTTTTACTTTTATGTGAAATTGTGCCATAAAAAAAGAAGACTGATTAAATTTTATCCCCTTATCAATTAAGGAAAAGACATTACCAGAAAAATAATGTCCACAATTTCTACAAAATCTAGATGTTAATAGATTGATTCCTGATTTGCTTTTAATCATAAAATGTTTCAGCTCTCATTACAATCGGCCATGGATAATCAATGCTCTTATTGTTTATTTACTGTATTTGGAAGTAAATGTTACATTAATTAAATTGTACTTGGCAATCAGTGGCTAAAGATTCTGGCCTACATGGGCTTTATTTGGTACTATATGGTTTATTGATTTGCTAGTTTCTGATCCCTTGTCAAATCTGATTAAGCTAGATCTTGCATGTAATTGAAAATTCAGAATTTTATATGAAAACATTGGAAGGCAGACATTTTTATTTGGCAGGAGTGAATTAGAGTGACTTTGTTATGTTGGTGTTTAGTATCTAGTTAGATTAGCCTGTATAACTGTATAATGTTAGTCATACACATTATTATTTATTTTTAGTTTGTTTCAATATTTGTTTTATATTTTTTATTAGGCTTCATGAATGTTTAATTATGGTCTTAGATTACATTTCATTCTGTTCTGTTACTCTGTTGATATTTTGAGCTAAAAGCATAAGTTTCATCCATAGGCACTTGTTTCATACAATGGTATAGCCCTCCTTCTTTCCGTTAATGGGGGTCCCCATTTTAGAGGCTTGAAAATTGACTTCTTTGAGCCAAGGATGGTGTTTTAGGCTATTACGGTTTTTCTTCTACAAGTCAGCTCATGTGATTTTTTTGTAATACATGTAGTAAAATGAAAATAGTTAAATTGTAATAAAATTAACTTGCACCTCTATCCCTGAAATGTTGTTAACCCAGTTATTGTTATTTTGTATAATGTTATTTTTCAATACTGGACAATTTAGTGTTAAAAGTTTTTAGGAAGAGGTCTGCTGAGTCTTTGCCTTAGGTTTAGTTTTCGTAAATTCACAGGTTGGATTCAGTCTGTCCTTTATCTATTTATCTGCTTGTTGTTTGTTTGTGCCATCAAGTCGTACACATTGATTCCGGTGTTATAAATCATTACTTGTTAAATTATTTATCTGAATGTTATTTTGGTACTGGTTTGTTAGATCCTATCTGTTAAATTAGTTTGAATAATAAGAAAAGTTTGGATACATTTCTTTGCGCTATCTTGTGTAATTTAATTTCTTTCTCACTCTGAATCGATATTTCTGTCAGAAACGGAATGTCAAAACAGTGCTGCAAGTAATAAATTATACAAGTGCATTTTGCTTTATATTTAATTTTCTTATATAGGATCTCTTTTATCCTCATCAAATTCCATTTTTTAATGGCTTGTAAAAAAGTTGTTTTATTGTGCTACTCAAGACTGCCTTATGATTTCAACCAGGGATTTTTTTTTTTAAGTTTGAACATATTTTTTCAAAACTATAAGAACCATTAGATTTTCTTTTAAAAAAAAACAGAATTTATCTTTGTTACTTTATGGATGAATTTTCATGCAGACACCTTTACCGGTCAGTGGAGTATCTTTAGTGTATCTGTCCATGGTAGGATATTGAAGGTATTTCAACTATTTTTTTTATCTATGTATTTTGGAGTTTTTTAGTATTTAAAATTGGATTAATGTCTGTATAATGATGTAAAAGCTTCATATGCAAGTGGTCTTAATGAATAGGTATTACTATTGTGCCTTTTTTTGTGGCTGTAAACTTGCAAATTCCTATTGTCTAAATCTGTATTCAGTGGACACTTTAAAGTAGATTTGAATGTTTTACCAGATAATGTAAATCTCTCTCCTGTCCTTGATATGTCAAATAGAAGGTTCAAATCAGTACTTATAGATTTTCTCTCCACTTAGAATTTGGCTACTGTGTTATATTTTTGGAAACATATACTTAACAATTTAAACAGTGCAAATACATTTATTTATTTAACTGGATTAAATGAATATATTTTGACAAAGGCATTTGAAAAAATGAAAGATTTGGATGCCCCCAGCAGGTTAAACTTGATAAATGAATCCAATTTACTATTCAGCTTTCTGAAGTTTAAGTATTTTTTTCATAAATTTTTATTTATTCCTTTGTCTGCATTTTCAGATTTAGTTTAGATTATTTATATTTAGGTAGATCTGCACAAAACAATTTTATTTTATTTTTTTTCCTGATATTTACTAAAGCAGTAGTTTTTAATAAGAATTTTTATATTGTGCACTAAAAACTGTGATAATTTTAACAATTTTATTTTATTGTGGAGAATTTTTTTATTATTTTGTTTAGAATCAGTATTTTATACACCATATATATTGTTAGTGAATAAAAATGTGCTATCACCCATTCGTACTTGTTCTTTTGTCAGTTTCAAATGTTTTATGAAATGTGTTGCCTACCTGTAAGTAGTTTGTAAATGTATTGTGTTTTCTATTTGATATTTTCTGTCTTACGGAGTTTGTGGAGGCAACACTTAGGCATGCTGTTTCTAGCAGCATCAACAACTTGTCAAAGTTTGTAATAATTAAGGTAAGTTAGAGGGGTACTAATGATGGCAAGTTTTAAATGATTTTTGGTATGCAGTTGTATAAGCATTAGCACTACCATTTCAGCAGAAATTATATGGCTCCATCATGGTTCATTGACTTTGAAACTTTGCATAGTTTACATGTTACAGTGTTGCCATTTTAATTTCATTTGCATTTTACTAACAAAATTACAAACAGGCGAGACATTTTCTATGTCAACAGTTAAGGCAAAATTCAGCGGCTTTCCCTTGATACAGTGTATTCGTCTTACCCTATTACATAATGCTACACAGCTACTTTAGTACAAGTAATCTTGATGTACAGTTCTAAAGATGCATATCAAATGTACATCTGTAAAGCTGTATATAAACTGTACATCTGTAAAGCTGTATATAAAAACTACATCTGTAAAGCTGTATATAAACTGTATATCTGTAAAGCTGTATATAAACTGTACATCTGTAAAGCTGTATATAAACTGTACATCTGTAAAGCTGTATATAAACTGTATGTCTGTAAAGCTGTATATAAACTGTACATCTGTAAAGCTGTAATTAAACTGTACATCTGTTAAACTGTATATAAACTGTGGATAGATATCGTATCACACAAGATGCAGGGGTAGAATCTATATGTTTAGCTTATACACATATTTAAAAATGTGCAGTTAATGTACATTTTTACAGAGTTGCAGTTTATATACAGCTTTAAAAATGTACAGTTTATATACAGTTTTACAGCTGTACAGTTTATATACAGCTTAACAGATGTACAGTTTATATACAGCTTAACAGATGTACAGTTTATATATGTTACAGGCATTTTCTAAATTTAGGCATTTTGTAAAATGACTGAATTTTCAGGCAATTTATAAAATGCCTAACCTTGACAGGCATTATATAAAAAGACTAAAAATACTTAGTCATTTTGTAAAATGACTGAAATTTTGAAACAAAATTCAACAAATTGCCTGTTCAGTTTCAGGCAATTTGTAGAAAAAGGATATCATTGAGATGCATATGACAAAAAATGGACAAAAGCACAACATCTTGCAAAGAAATAACTAATGGTTTCGGTAGAATTAATTTATTCTTCAAAAACCAGCTGGGAAAGTCTGTATCTCATATGATATGTTCTTTTTAATGAAACTACGTTAAGTATGTACGCACTCTGTATTTCAGATAGTAAATTTATGATTATTTTGTCAAATTGGCAGGACACTTTGTTCTTTCAATAGAACAAAATTTACAAACAAATTTTTAGAAAATCCAGATTCAAAACAGTGAAGTGAAACATATAAAGCAGAGAAAAAGAAGTTTGTTTTTATTTGACTGATTGCTGTTAGTTTGCTATTAGTGCAAATATTTCATGCATTTTTAAGACGAGAACATTTCGGTTATAATTCATTATGGGGTATTTCTGCAGTGGATTAACCTGGATAAAGGACAGGAATTTCGACTGACGTTTGAAATGAAGGTATTTTGGATAGGGACAGAAAAATCCTTCTGCAGAACGGTCCAAAGAGTTCTTAAAGTGCAGAGAGTGTTGCACTTTACTAACATGCTGCAATATATTTAATGTCCCCATTCAGATAGAATGAGAATTTATACATCCACATCCAAACAAATTCCCCTCTATAGCATGGGTTCACATTACAATCCTGAAGGCCGTGTTTGGTTGTGATGCAAAGATATGAGTATCTTCATCTTCACTGACTCAAGGAAATGCCTATGACTTTGCGATGAATTAATAAGACAGTAGTTAACTGTGGTTAAAATCTCGAAAATCGACAAAGAAGAGACAAATAATGGTGCATTGACAGGGTGAGCGTCTCCTGCTAAAGGTGCATCACCCGTCATGGGCAGATCTGCTTCAGTCCGTTAAAAGCTATAAGCCAAAAGATACAAGTCAAACAAATCATGATGAATCTTTTGGGAACATCTGAAAAAAAAGATATTCATGTGTGACATGTGTGCTTATTGCGAAATGCAACGTTGTCGAAACCTTAAGTGTTTTATCAGAAAAGGTAATGAAAGAGCTAAATATGTCATGATCCAGGTTTCTCCAAATGTGGTAGAAGTGCTAAAACCAGATTTTACGCCAAACAATGTATTTGCAAACAAACAGGACAAATATTGTGTAACAGTTCTGTCATCCAAACATTTTAAGAAATAACAAATAATTGTAGAGTTCTGTGCTTGTGTGAATTTGGAATAATTCAGTAAAACTTATTTTTGATTATTAAAACTCTTAAATTTCAAGCTTTAACATTCAGTTATTATCATTAATAAAGCAGCTCTGTTGTTCAAAGCTTTCAGTTGTTTTTTTAACATTTCATTCTATAAAATAATTTCAGGCATTTTGTAAAATGCCTTTCAATTTTTCCAGTCATTTTGTAAAATGCCTAGAAAAATTAGTCATTATGTGAAATGCCTGAATCTTGTAGGCATTTTCTAAAATGCCTAAAGTTTTAAGGCATTTTACAAAATGCCTAAATTTAGAAAATGCCTGTAACATATACAGCTTTACAGATGTACATTTGATATGCATCTTTAGAACTGTACATCAAGATAACTTGTACCAAAGTAGCTGTGTACACATATGAATAAAAGGACATGTACAGATATTGTTTTCAGTAATAGACAAAAGTTTATTAAATATTTAAGTCAATAAAGAATAAATTTAACACAGGCTATCATCGATGATCTGCAATCAATATCAAATAATCTAATGTTAAAAAAACATAAAGATGCTAACTAATACATACATTTACAAAGTTTCTGAATTTTGGCAAGCAAATGAATATGTAGCAGGGCTAAATCATATCCTTTAGCACTCAAACCATCTATTCCCAATTTGGATAGTGGGAAAAACCAAAGACTTAAATAAGAAGGTACAATAGATATCAACCTATAAAAAGCAAGATACATGACATCCACTATAGACAAGAAAGCACTGGTACTGGTAAAACAATACTGCAGCAAAGAGTTCTTGCTTTGTCTGAACAGCTGCTTGCAGCATGCTCAAAATGCTTACCCTGCAGATACAAAAATGTGCCTCCCTTCCCTGTTGTACCTACAGCTGTACTTCTATATAGATTGATGTGCTGGAATGACAGAATGTTGTGCAATGTCCAATGTTAACAGAATTGCAAAACAGAATTATATAAAAGAAACACTTACAAGTCTTGATTCAAACCACAGTGCATTAATATTTTTCTCTAAACATGAAGATACCGATTTAGTAATTGAACTATAATCATTATTAATAATTAGTTTAGCTTAAATAAATGATTTGAAGGACAATTTCTAAAGTTATTTTCTTTATAGATAATATAACTCATCAGTTGAAAAGGGCCAGGATAGGCCATATTTTTTTTAAAACATTTTTTTTTAAATCAAAGAAAATTAAAAATCAAATCCGATAACAAAATCCTCAGTGTATCTAATGTCAACTATATTTTTACATTATTGCCAATGGCCTCTCTTAGCTGTCTTTACTTAAAATAGCAAATATTTGTCAATGAGACTGCAACCCAACGAGAAAAAATTAAAGCTGCCAAGGTCAACATACTCTTTAATAACAAAGTAGTATTTGATACAAATATGTTAACTTAAGGTCCTACTGTGTTGTCCATATACGTATACAAAAACGATGTGAATCATTAAATTTAAAAGAACTAATTCGCCTCGGTTGACAATGTTTTCTTGTGGTTACAATCTGCTATATCACCCTCTCATCTATGTGTTATTTATATAATACTGGACAGTTATAGTAATCATTCCAAATATCTTTATTTTGATAAAAGGAAAAAACAAAGTAATTGGAACGTAAATGAGTTGGGAAAAGACACTGAACTCCATTATTCTTCACTGTCCTATCTTTCGGATTTTATTGGATAGTTATTATACAAAGTAATCATACTAAATCTGTTTATTTTGTACAAAATTAAAATGAGAATCTACATTCAAGTGCTCTCCTTCATAGCTCAGCACTCCATCAAAATACTGATGATAACGTGAAGGACACTAATGTCACTAAGTCGCATTGTGATTTATCATTCGATAGTTTGGATATTATCCTGGCATTTCCAGTTTCAACATAATGATAATATAAAAAATTGTTGGAAACCAGAGACATACATATTTTAGTGTATGTATATGTCTCTGGGGAAACTGAGTTACAATTTTAAATTGAAAAACATTAGCTATTCAAAAGGTCCATGACATAAACATAAGCTGATGTTCACTGGAAAAATAATGCAACTAAGATTCTACAATATTTTATTTTGATTGACTCAATCTTGCAAAAAATAGCCGGCAAATGATGAATGGTCATTTCCAATAACTCTCTCTGTTTGGCCGCTGTGTCTATGTTTGATGTAAACACGATCTCCTTTCTTTAACTCAACCAATACACTAATACTACTTGCTTCGTATGTTCCGTTATTTGAATACCCTCTTACGTACAATAAGTCGTTCTTGTTGAGTTGATAGCCAACGTCATGTCCACTGTCACCATAAATCAAACAACTAAAATGATACAATCCATCTCTTTTAGTAGTGAAGATCCCGGTTGTTGGATCGTAGCCTCCACCTCTATTGACCTTTACTCCGTCAAATATCACCACTTTGTTAGAGTTGGATAAAACTACACTGCGAAGAATGCAGGTTTAGTCTCTTTGTCTGCAATGAATTTTTTTAATTGTTAGTTGATAGCCCTTAAAGTCATAAGAAATGAGTTTCTGGTGATTATAATGTTAAAGATATTATTGAACCAGTGCAAGTATATTTACTCACCTAAGTTTTTTATAGACGTATTTTTTTAAACTTTC